TTGGCCTGTTATGATCCGTTTAATATTGACACTACAATCACTAATGCCCTTGGTTAATATAGCGGAACAATGATGTTGTTGAGCCATGCAATTGTTTTTGAAGATAAACCCCCTGACTGGCTCAATAAATTTTTTTTGCGCCGACTCAGTGTCCCTAGGAGGTTTATGAGGACCTGTCCATTCTGGAGACATGACGTTTAATGTAAAGATGCCAATCTCCTGCCAACTCAACTGAATAGCTCTCTTTATTTCCGATAAAAAAAGATTTTAATTTAAAAAGTTTTGAGTTCCCTTTAACTCAGGGGTCTCTGTCGACCCTCAGGCAAAAAGAAGTGTTTTGTTGTCCATTCCTTCTTAATCCCATGACATTCAGAGTCATTTTTTTTGCCTGACTCATTTTCAGTCATTAACGGTTGAGTGCATTTTAATAAACTGTACTGCATGCAATACTATCATCAAATGGCGTTCACTTGTATTGCATCATTTATTTACTAATTCTGAAACCAAACCGTTATTTAGAATCAGCATTTTAAAAAAATCTCTCGCGGGCTGTATGAAAGTGTTCAGCAGGCCACATATGCCCCGCGGGCTGTAGTTTGCCCACCTCTGTTCTAGAGTAACTCACATTATGTGCAAATTATTTCTAGGGCTCATGTTATCGTTGAATTGTGTTCATAAATCCTCCTAAACTGAAGTCAAAAATATAATGAGAATAGGCCCCCCAAAACATAGTTTAAACCATTATTATGTTGTGCAGTCGCATATAGACCTTTTTCTTGGAACGCAAAATTACCCATGATGCTTTGCGTGTATGCGCAAGGAGAATGCGAAGAACTTCCAGTCGGCAGCTGATGCGTGTAAACAGTCACATTTGGACAGCTTTGAAATGATAGTTTTAATCTATTTTACCTGCTTTTATCCTTTTTAAACTAATACTGTTGTCCATCAGCACCATCTCCTGGACTGATCACTTAAAGAAATGCGTGGTAAAAACAACACACGAAATAAAACACAAACGGTTCGCGATTAGAATGAACAGCAAATCAGCCAGCAGAGTATCAATAACAGACTTTTATTGGTCATTTTTGTAAATTGCACGACTTTCATACCTGTTAAGTTTCATGCCAGTACTCTGGTTTGCTCTCTCTCTCTCTCTCTCTCTCTCTCTCTCTGTGTGTGTGTGTGTGTGTGTGTTAAAGAGCAGCTGAGCTAACAGCTGACAGGCCGGGAACGCACAAACACACACAGTATTTCTGATGGCAGACACGTGAACTAGGAGAACGTTTTTCTCGTATTTCTGACGCGTTTGAACCACATGTGACAGATTATAACGGCTTTAACAGACAGATTTCTAAGTTGTGTATCACAAAAACACTGTTATCCATTAAAAACGCTATTGAAACCCATTTTCGGAGCGCAAATTACCAGTTGTACACGCTGTAAACGGAAGTTTTTAGCATTCTACCGGAAGACGCTGGTCGCTATGGCGCCCTCCATGCAGCAGCCATGAAAAAGGTCTATAGCCACTTATAGTTTTAACCCGCCACCTACTGGACATTTAAATAACTGCAATCAGTTTAGTTTTACTTTTGGTTTCTCTCAGCATGCTTCGAGAGCAGCACATCACATGCAGATTGTTTCTAATATGTCTGTAAATCCTTCAACCTGCAACTGACATCAAAAACATATTGATATTCGGCCCCCCAAAACATATATTTTTGAAGCACTATGATTGTTGTGCATTCACATATAGCTACTTGTGGTTTTGATTCACTACCTACTGGAGATTTAAAGTACTGCATTTGGTTTAGGTTTACTTTCGGTTTCTCGGAGTGTGCTTCTAGAGCAGGGGTGGGAAAACTTGATCCTGGAGGGCCGGTGTCCTGCATAGTTTAGCTCCAACACTAATCAAAAACACCAAAAAATGCTAATCAGTGTCTTTAAGATCACTAGAAATCTATAAGCAGGTGTGTTTGATTAGAGTTGGAGCTAAACTGTGCAGTACACCGGCCCTCCAGGACCGAGTTTGCCCACCTCTGTTCTAGAGAAACGCACATCACAAGTAAATTATTTCTAGGGCTGATGTAAACGATGAAATATGTCCGTTAAATCCTCCGACCCGCAACTGACGTCAAAAATATAATGAGATTCTGCCCCTAAAAACATATATTTTCACTGCTAACATTCTTGTGCAGTCGCATATAGCCACACGTGGTTTTGACTTGCCACCTACTGGACTTTTAAATAACTGTGCTTCGAGAGTATCGCACATCACATGCAGATTGTTTCTAAGGCTGATTTAAACGTTGAATTGTGTCCATAAATCCACTGACCTGCAACTGAAGTCAAATATATAATGGGATTTGTCCCCCAAAACCTAATTTGAACCATTATCAATGTTATGCAGTCGCATATAGTTACTTGTGGGTTTGACCCACCACCTACTGGACATTTATATAACTGCAATCGGTTTAGTTTACCTTCAGTTTCTCTCAGTGTGCTTCGAGAGTACACCACAATAGAAACACGTAAGATAAAACACAAACAATCCCCGCTTTTCTAAAATACAGAATGCTTTATTTGTAGAATACAGCATAAATTTAGCAAAAATAGTTCTATTATAGACAAAAATCTACTTGGTCTTAAAAGTCCAGTTTAGAGTAACAGATTTTTCAAGACATGGGTACCTACCGAAAGTGTGTAGATAGCAAAAAAAAAACACAGAAAGAAACATGAAAAAACAAAAGAGAAAGAAAGAAATACATACTCACAATTAACAGCAGAGAACTAGAGCTTCAAGCATGCACTGCAACAATATAATAATATGCCATATGCTGTTTTTTGCATAAATAAAAATAATAGACAAACATTTAAGCAGTGTGGGGAAAATAGGAGACAAAAAAAATACTCCATCGGCACGTTTTCAATTGTGCTGGTTCTATGATGTAAACAGCTGTAAAAGGGTAGCAGGGAATACATCTGTGGTTATTTTGAAACACTAAAAACACTCCACAGTGAGCTTTTACAACTTCCAAAACATTCAGGCACATGTACGGCCCATAAAGCATCGTTATAAAACACCTACGAACGATGCTTCGCAAAGAGAAGAAATTAAGTGGACTTGCCTTTTGTTTTTGATGAACTTAAGTCAGTGTGGTTTGCGTTCTGTTCCCATGTGTCCTTTTCAACATGTAAACTATTTCTTTTCTCTACACCAGCCACTGCCTTTCTGGATGCAGATTCAGTACGTTTTGAATGTCGTGTATGTTTACACTGGAGTGATCTTCTGTCGTTTCAGAGATTTCTACACTTACCTTGACTGATTTAAATGAATTTGATGAGCTAGCTGTGAAAACATAAACTGAAATAGGTTTTTAAAATAATCGCTACAGTTTCTGATAGTAAGAGTGTGTTCACACTTTGCTGGTTTGATTATTTTGAAACAAACTCTAATGGAAGTGCTTTTTTAGGGTGCTCTCACACCTGGGGTTCGGTTCATTTGGTCTGAACCAAAGGCAAAAAATAATGCATCATTTTTATTTTCACACCACGCTGATAGCTCGGGTGTGAAGCAGTTAAAATGAACCAAAACGCGACATGTGGCAACATCCACACAATATACTGGCTAGATGTGTTCAAGGGATGCACCAGAATAAAAATTCTGTCCCAAAACTGAAATTTCTGGATGCACTTAGGAGAAAAACCAAATTGATTTGTAATTATTATTTATTGTTTTTTTTTTTTAAATAATATAAATTTGTAAGACTTTTATAATTTGTCATGTAATTGAGTAAAAGAGCAGTAGAGGGGCTTCATTTGATCAGCCATCAAAGTAATGCCATTGCAAGCAGCAGGAATAATTACCACGTAGAAATGTCTGATCAGTGTGTTATTTGAGTGCACCATGTTTTTCCGGTGAGCATGTACGGTTTATGCATAGATAAGTATAGGTTTATGAGCTGAATATTGAGCTATTTTGAAATTTGGTGAGGTGTGCAGCTCTTGAATTCTAGTCAACACCAGCAAAAAATAAAATAAATAAATAAATAAATAAATTGGGCTTTTCATTGGAGGAATGAAATGAATGGGATTCATAGTGCTGCGCTTTCTATGTCCGATTTGAAAACTCCATCACTCCATGCAATGACTATGGCTGGATGGACTGTGAAACCACTGCGCTGAATATTGGCTCATATTTTCAGCCCTTTTCCAAAATCAAAAACTCAATTTTTTGCGGCGAACAAAAATTCCGTGTATCCCTACATATTGCCTAAAGTGCTTTTCAACTAGTCAGAATTATTGTGTATGATTATTCCTCTGGAACATCTGAAGGTAAAAAAGAGAAAAGCCAGAAGACAAAAGAATAGATAGACGACTCCATGATGACTGTATCCATGGGCTTCATATATTATGTAGATTGTATGCAGCACTTCACTCACTAATATTTTAAGACTTAAATGCAGATGCAACTTGAAAACAATGGCTGCGTCCGAAATCGCATACTTCTATGTAAGCCGAGTAGTATTTCCGAATTCATGGAATTCGAAAAACAGTATGTGAGAAGTACCCGGATGACCTACTACTTCCAATGTAAGCTACGCTATCTCATGATGCACTGGGACAGAATTCATAAACGAGAGAAAAGTGATGCAACTGACGCAGGTAAGTCACATGATGATGACAAAACAGAGAATCTAGTACAAACGAGCTCCATTCATACTATTAAATTCAAACTCAAATGCAGTAGGCAATTTCAGACGCAGTTTTCACAGGCGCATCACAAGTCACTTCAGAAGTCTGCTACCATGGAGCTTCTGCTACAGCACTGTAAACAAATACTTTACCTCATGCCATAATACACAGTGCAGCTGACTATGGCAGTTGGTTTAGTCCATCAATGTGCCATATTTTTTGTAGTCTGGACTGTTCAAGTTCGGATCATGCTTTCACTACAAACTAACTGCTCCAGTGTTCATTTGAAAGGGTACCGGGACCACCTCTTCAAGCAGTACACTTGTCTGGTCCACACTTGTTTAACACTCTAGTGTGCTTGATGTATTCACACCTGCTCAAATGAATCGCCCTGAATGAGAAAATGAACTTTAGTGATTCAAACACCTACAGAAAATGAGGCAGGTGTGAAAGCACACAGTGTGGTTAATCTGAGTCAAATGTGAACAGCAAACAAGTGGACTGAGACCTCTAAAGAGTCAGGTCTTGCTTCTCTCTCAAAAAATCTTTTATACATTGAGATAAAAGAAAAAAGAAGTAAAAAAACAACATTTTAACAGCTTGTTTTTGTGTTCAGACTGTTAATGCTAAGTTAGTCAAGACTAAATCTATCCTTTTTCATCTGAACCAAATAAAGTGTGAACACACCCTAAATTGAAGAGCATTTGACAGTATGTTGTCTAAAACCAACATTACTTTAGTTTATTAATCTAGTGAGAAATTCGAGCAATTATTTTTATAATAATAAAAAAATAACAATACTTTCCTTAATTTTTGAGCTTTCCCGTTATTTAGTTCAAAAATGGGCTTGAAACTAAATCAGCATGTTCGTGGAGCAATTCTGTGAAGTGTACTTACATTTGTACATGATACACACAGTTACCTTAATTACATGTGGAATGTTTGATCACATATTCATTAAATTAAACTAAGCTTCTCTATCAACATTTTCCTTGTGGTAAAAGTGTCTGTTCTTCTTAAAAAATATGTTTGCTATCCCTCTTTCTCCCAAATCTAGTCTAATAACACTCAAAACACACACAAACATACAAGCAAACTAGAGCAAAGGTGAGATCCCAATTCTCCCTCACATACCTCTGCAGTAGCTTTCAGTTATTGGTTGAATTGAGTTTACATACCATGTTGCAGTTCTTTATATGAACTTAATTAGACAAAATGGGCCAAATGAACCTGCCGCCTGGTTTCCAACCCTGTTGAAAGTGAGAACAAACCACCCAGACACACCGAATGGAACAAAAGCTGAGAGTGAGTCAGCCAGTCTAATCCGACTTGTCTTTTTTCTTTGGTGTAACTTTACCAGCCACTGCAGACCCCACTGCACCGACTCCTCCTGTTACCACTGAGACGCCCCCTTTGACCAGTCCCACTCCGGCGGCAGGAACGCTCGTCACTGCTGTTTTGGTGAGCTCGAAGCTCTTGCTGCCCACCCAGGCCACTCCACCAAGGGTGGCACCCACCGCTCCTCTGGTCAAGTTGAAGAGACCGCCGGTCACGCGCCACACCACGCCTGCTTCATTCTTGGGGTGGTCCTTTTCCAAGTCTGAAAGAGATGAACAGAAGAGTTAAAATGATTATAATACAAAATGTCAATTAAATTATAACTTTAACCCCCAGGTGTCGAAGACTGCGTATACGCATTCTGACAAGTTTTCACCTCTTAAAGCTGAAATGAACTTAGATTACACTTTCAGTTTTGATCGTACAGATAAGATCAATACATCAATCGGATCTGTTTGGTGTCTAGTTTTTATTGTGTACACTCACAATGACAACAAACGTGTGTGCCTTTGCAAAACAAGGATAATAAACAGTTTAGGCAATCTGTCTTTTCTCTCTCCATGAACTGTTTTTAGAAACGCCTCAGCAAAATGGGCTGAAACTCCGCGAAAACAAAACACACAGACACGAGACATATATCTCTGGAAAGCTTAAAGTGTCTACTTTTAAATGCAGCGAGTGCATGTTAAAAACAAATATTGTTTGATAAAGTAATCAGTGAAACCAACGCTGTCTAGTTTCTCAGTCTGAGCTCATTAGAGTTAATGCTATCACGCCCACGAGGCTTTGGCATTGCAAACATGCTGCTTAGGTATTATCGTAGCCCAGCTTGTGCTGTTTACAGTGTTATCACACTTTAGCCATTGATATGTTTTTGAGATACTGAAAACAACACAAATGTCAGTCCATGTCAAAACTTCACCATGGCCCCAAAACACCAGTAGACCCCTGAGAGTTAAATGAGATTTATATCAATTAGAAGTTAACTATCATGTTATTAAAATGATAAGATACTTTAATTTATTGAATATATTTTGAAACAATCATTACTAATATTCAATTATATTGTAAAAGGTAAAATTAAATTACTGCATGACTGCTGTCACACCTGTTCACAATGAAGAAATCGCTTAAATTGGATCTGCCTGGGATAGTTAACTGGATCAAAAGATCCTCAAAAGCTAGACTTCATGCTGAGATCAAAATTCAAAAATAAAGAAGAAACAATAATTGAGATCCATCAGAGATCTGGAAAAAGTTATAAAGCCATATCTAAAGTTTTAGGATTGCAGTAAACCACAGCAAGAGCCTTTATCCATAAATAGAAAAAAACATGGAACGGCGGAAAACCCAGGAGTGGCCAGCTGACTAAAATCACCCCAGAATTGCTCATCCAAGAGGACACAAAAGACCACACAACAACACCCTAAGAACTGCAGGTGAGTACTCATGACTAAGAAAGAAACAACAAACAATTTGCATGGATGAGTTTTAAGGCAAAAAACACTGATGAATAAGAAAATAAAGGCTTGTCTCAGTTTAGCCACTGAAAAAAAAAAAAAAAAAAAAAAAACGCCATTGTGTCTGTATCCTGAAGTATCACTGTAACACCCAAGAGGAGAGGAAAAATGACCTCAAGCCAGCAGGTCAAAGGTTCACAGTGAAACAATTAATTTTGACACCCCTTATATATATATAACACACACACACACACACACACACACACACACACACACACACACACACACACACACACACACACACACACACACACACACACACACACACACACACATATATATATATATACATACATATATATATATATATATATATATATATACATACATACATACATACACAGTTGAAGTCAGAATTAATAGCCCACCTTTGATTCCTTTTTTCTTTTTTAAATATTTCTCAAATTATGGTGAACAGAGCAAAGAAATTTTCACTGTATGTCTGATATTATTTTTTCTTCTGCAAAAAGTCTTATTTGCTTTATTTCAGCTAGAATAAAAGCAGTTCTTATTTTTTTAAATACATTTTAATGACAAAAATATTAGTCCTTTTAAGCTATTTTTCCCCAATAGTCTACAGAACAAACCATCATTATACAATAACTTGCCTAATTACCCTAACCTGCCTAGTTAAGCTAATTAACCTAACTGTCACTTTTGTCTTGAAAAATATCTAGTCAAATATTATTTACTGTCATCATGGCAAAGATAAAATAAATCAGTTATTAGAAATGAGTTTTTAAAACTATTATGTTGAGAAATGTGTTGAAAAAATCTGCTCTCCGTTAAACAGAAATTGGGAAAAATAAACAGGAGGGCTAATAATTCTGACTTCAACTGTATATATCCACTCACTATCCTGATTTATCAGGGGTCGCCACAGAGGAATAAACGACCAATTACTCCTGTTTTATATATGAGTAATTGTTATTAATTACACACAAGGCATGTTTTAAGTTCCAGATGTATTATAAAATACTACAATAACTATCGGGTGGCGCAGTGGTGCAGTGGGCAGTGCTGTCGCCTCACAGCAAGAAGGTCGCTGGTTCGAGCCTTGGTTGGGTCAGTTGGCATAGAGTTTGCATGTTCTCCCCATGTTCGTGTGGGTTTCCTTCAGGTGCTCCGGTAATCCTCACAGTCTAAGGAAATGCGCAATAGATGAATTGAGTAAGCTAAATTGTCTGTAGTGTACGTGTGTGAATGATAGTGTATGGGTATTTCCCAGTGATGGGTTGCAGCTGAAAGGGCATATGCTGTATAAGTAGGCGGTTCATTCCACTGTTGCATCCCTTGATTAATAAAGGGACTAAACCGAAAATAAATTAAATAAATTAATGGATTTAACAGCTCTTTACAGTAATTAAATAATTTTTTAATTACTCATTCATTTGGCGTATTACCTAATTTATTAGGGGTCACCAAATTCAATAATTAATTAAAGAATTTTTATTATAAGAATGATTACTATTAAACAACAAGAATTGTTATGCACTTCTTTATTACATTATTCAAGACCAATATTTCAGCCCAAAACACACACACACACACACACACACACACACACACACACAAACACACAAACACACAAACACACACACACACACACACACAAACACACAAACACACAAACACACAAACACACAAACACACACACACACACACACACACACACACACACACACACACACACACACACACACACACACACACACACACACACCATTTAATGAATCAATCCAGGCTGAATACAGTTATTGTATCCAGAGCAATTTTTCAGTTAAGAGCACTTGCTATCAAACCATGAATTTGAAATCAAATGTTTCAGGCCCTGCTCTAAAAAAATAACAGTATTTATGCAAGCACTGTTTATATTTCTTCTATGTGATGGTTATGTGCAACTTAAAGCTTCAGGGAAGCCTTTTGAAACCAGCTCACATCTACAGGCCTGACACTGAGTAATACACTGAGCAGATGTGTTCAGAAAAACACACACACACACACACGCACACACACAGTTCGAATGGCATCATCTTTCCCCTCTGTTGTTCCTTTGGCAGAATACAAGAAAAAAAGACTCCTTTCTTTCCGCCGGACAACTAGCATTTACACACTCAATACTCTGCGGACTGTGAACAGAAATTATATCTTTTACATTCAATCAATACTGTCAAGGACCGCGTGTCTGGGTTGCGCGATGAGCTCCCCGCTGAATCGATGTGCCACGGAGAAGCCGTGTGAATGACAAGCGGTGCATCTTCAGATGAATCTCATGGGATAGCACAGGAAAAAAAACAAACTTCCCGAAGACGTCAAGGTCGACCCACACGTAGCTCATGTGTGCAGAGATGTGCATGTGCATAAACAACAACAGACACATGGCGAGATAAACAAACCTGGTCTTGATGTGAAACATTTGCGAGATGCGACCAGAGAAGAGATGAACGGATTTAACTAAAGCCTGCTTTCCTCTCATAAAATGTCGAGGAGCATTAATATGTATGAAACGTGCCTGCAAAGTTCTTATTGGTACCGACACTGTATCTGTACTCCGGGTTTCTCACTTTCATTGTGGCAAGCAGAGAGGCGAGCTGTGGAAAAGGTGTAAGGTTGGTGGACAGAGTGTTAATGAGGGACACCTGTGTGGAAAACGTGTCTTGAGGCCCATGGAGGAGATCTGGAAGGGTAAAAGGACAGTGAAAGAAGAGTTTGGACCAGGGTTGTTTTTCCGTGTGTTCTTAAGTGATCTTGTGTCCTTATTGACCTTATTCTCCGCCGACGAGCGGGCACTGCCATTTAAATCTTTTTGGCTTGAAACTTCCGGTCTCATTCACTTCCATTCATTTTTTGACGTTAAAAACTGCTCATTACGCTGCTTGATGTTGCAATTTGATATTTTCTTATTATATTATTCTACTTGGTCTGTATAGTCATGCAAACATTTGTTTGTAGAGCAAGTAGTTTGACCGTTTTCTGCCGTTTATTATTCCTAGTAATTTCTCCCATAGGCAACTGAATCGGAAGTTCTAAGACAATCGCAAAAACAGGCGCACTTCCGCATTTTAGAATAAGGTCAATAATGTCACCACCAACTGACAAAGTTTAATTCTAATATTCAAGACCACAAGAATAGAGGACACAAGATAGACACCCAGATGTGTTCTTGATATCAAGGATGAATCGAATGCAGACTTGTTGAGTGCAGGACTCGCTTAAATTGGGGTGCAGCATCATACAATATTCACTGTTATTTACATTTCAGAAATATAGCCGAGACCCTTAATTAAAATAAACATTCACATTTGACTCAGAGTCAATTAAACGACTTTTCTTTTGTCCAGCTCTTTTGCCTGTTTCGTCGTAGACAGGAAACAATACCAAATATGAAGTGCCGGATCCGGTAAAACATGAACATGCCTTTCCCTTTAAACGCTAGCAGAGTGTGGGTTTGTGTGGGACTGATCATGACTGAAGACGAGTAAACATTCTGGTGATTAATGCAAATATCTACCCTGGAACTGGGGATTCGTCGGCCGGAAACTTGCAGTCCATAGTTCATGGATCATTTTCTTCCCCCATTTCAAAAGTGTAGTTAAGTGCGATTGAAATAGTTGTCTCCTTGTTTTTTCTAGCTTGCAAAACATGTATTTAATTGTGTTTTGTTACTTGTAACCCCCAGGTAGCCTGTACTGTATCTGGTTAACTCTTTATATTCACGTATCACGTCTAAAGCCACGCTGAA